ATTCTAAGCAGCCGAGATCAATTATGAGATCCACGATAAAGAACTTCTTGCGATCGTGGATTCCTTTCAAGAATGGCATCATTATCTAGAAGGCGCTTCTAGTCCAGTCACTGTGTATACAGATCACAAGAACCTCGAGTATTTCATGTCAGCACGCGTGTTGAATCGTCGTCAAGCTCGTTGGAGTATGTCTTTGTCAAGATTCGAGTTCATTATCACTTATCGGCCAGGAAAACAACAAGGTTTATCTGATGCCCTATCTAGACGTTCTTATTTTGCACCAAAAGAAGGAGATGCAGCTTTTGAGCAACAAAGAACGGTCCTCTTGAAACCGGAGCAATTTCATCTCCGAGCAATGAAATCAACATTGACTGTTGATTCAACTTTTCTTAAGCAAATCCAATCCAGTATGTCCTCAGACCCTCTTGTTTATGATATCGAGAATAATTCTTCCAAGTCTCATGATCCTTCTAAGTTCGAGTTCAAGAATAATCTATTATATTTTGAAGGACGCCTATATGTTCCAGAAAGAGAAGCACGTTTACGTGTTCTTCAAGCACGTCATGACTTTCCAACAGCAGGGCACTTTGGATATAATAAGACTTTGGAACTCATATCAAGAGATTTTTGGTGGCCACAAATGTGGAAGTCAGTCAAAGACTTTGTACAATCATGTGATATTTGTTCAAGATCAAAAATTCCTCGTCATCGACCTTACGGACTTCTTCAGCCATTACCTATACCAAAACAACCATGGTCTTCTGTTTCTATGGATTTCATCACAGATCTTCCAAGCTCAAGATCTTATGATTCTATATTTGTGATAGTAGATCGTTTCACCAAGATGGCACATTTTGTGCCATGTACAAAATCTATCACAGGTGAAGAAACAGCTAAGCTTTTCATTGATAATATCTATCGCTATCATGGATTACCTAAAGATATCATATCAGATAGGGGAACTCAATTTGTGTCAAGATTTTGGAGGACCTTTTTCAAGATTTTAAAAGTGGACATAAAGCTATCTTCGGCTTTCCATCCTCAAACTGATGGACAAACAAAGCGCGTAAACCAAGTCTTGGAGCAATATTTAAGGTATACTATCAACTACCAACAAGATGATTGGACAACCCTTCTGCCATTGGCAAAGTTTGCTTATAATAATACGGTACATTCTTCCACGCAACAAACACCTTTCTTTGCCAATTATGGCTATCATCCACGACTTGATACTTTTGATTTTTCAAAAGTTGATAATCCTGCAGCAGAAGATATGGCAAATCGGTTGTCAGAGTTACATGCAATAATGAAGACGCAATTGAAGGAAGCTCAAGAATGACAAAAGATAAACGCAGATCTATATCGTAAGGAGCAACCACAAATCAACGTGGGTGATAAGGTATGGCTACTTCGTCGCAATATCAAGACTACTCGACCTTGTGACAAGTTGGACTATCGTAGGCTTGGCTCCTTTTCTGTTTCTGAACAGATCAACCCAGTTGCATATAGGTTACATCTACCGGAGTCAATGAAGATCCATCCTGTATTCCACGTGTCTCTTCTTGAACCATATAAGACAGTGGATATACAAGGAAGAAGACAAATGCCACCGCCTCCTATAGAAGTAGATAATAATGAAGAATTTGAGGTGGAAGAGATATTAGACTCAAGGCGGCGCCGAAATAAGCTGGAATATCTTGTTCATTGGCGCGGATATGATATTAGTGAACGCACATGGGAGCCATCCAGGAATCTAGGAAATGCATCAGCTAAAGTCAAAGTTTTTCATCAACGACATCCATCAAAACCAAGATGAAAATCTCTCTTATAAAAGAGACAAGATTGAGGCAAGATAACATTCAATTTCCTATCCTTGTTTGTAACTTCTTTGCATTTGTGACGCTAATTAGATGGAGAGCCAACAACCAGCGGATTTAACTCAAGAACCTTCGTTTGCTGACCTGCCGGACGAGACATTACGATTGTTACAACCTTCAAGACGACGCAATCGAGATGAAGATCTTCAAGAATGACATGTTCTTCCTCGAACAGATGGTGAGATACAATGCGTTTGGTATCACGATTTGGGAAGGGACTCTCGATGTTTGGTGATTTTGCTAGAGGTAGGAACAACTCCTGATGGTGTTCCGAATATTCTATTCGAAGGAAGTTACGAAGGCCTCAACAATGATCAAATAAATGGGTGGTCTTCCCGCCCTGGTATGGGACACTACCGATGGTTGAGAGGCCCTATCAATCATCTTCGAAGAGAACAGAGATCAGAGTATGTGGCGAATACAATTCGTCGCATCATAGATTTCCTCAACATATGATAACCGCTCCTCGTGAAACTCGTCTCTAGAAGGGGGGGTAATGTCACGGCCATAATCATGTAAGCTAATAATTACATATAGAAATAGGTAGAAGTAAGTAAAAGTAGATAAAAGTAAGTTAATTTTATAATATTTAATATAGAAGCTTCCTAGAAACTTCCTAGACGTTGCTTTGACTTCATAGGTGTCTTTAATTGACTTTTTGAATTAGAAACGTGGTCAACAAGTTGGCCATGTGCCACACATGTTGTTAGCTTGAAGATCAAGCTAACTATGTGGCCCACACGTAGAAAAACTTGCCTTGTAAGTCAAGGCATGTGTCCTACAAAGTCAACACATATTGGAGGTCCTATAGAACGTCGCCACGTAGCCCCTAGTTAGATAGTATATATAGAGACAAGAGTGAAGGCTTCTTCACTCTTGTCAACTCCTTTTTTGCTTCTAGTCCAGGTTCAAGAGTCTTTAGTTTCTTGTCTTGTGGCAATAGCCATTCCAGTTTCCTTTTAATATACCTACTTGTTTATATTTTGACTTATTATATCGAGATAGCCTTTTGGTGTATATTTTCCCTCATCGAGTCTTTGTCCTTGACAATTATTTGCTTGGACGCACCTATTGCCACATATACTTATTGTAATTGGTCAAGTAACAACTTGAGTAGTTCTTTATTTATTCTTTGTATTTGTAATATATGAGGTGAATAAGAGATACTTTGTTTAGAAAGACCAATGTATCAAAATTATGAAGTACATCCTTGTAAATAGACAAGTTGTGTATGAGTAGGTCTTGCATTCCCAATATGCGCTTCATCATTTGCTATGCCATCTGATCCATTGTCTATTGGTCTATTATTTGTTTTATTATTTTTAGTCATATATTTCTATGCCATTCAAGCAATTCATGCAATAGCAAAATAGATAGAATACTACTATAGAAAGAAGGTAGTGTACAACCATCCTTTAAGATTGTACTCTTAAAAAAACTTGCTAGAAGGTGAAATTTGTTTTTTTATGCTCCATGGTAGTTATAAGATACTCTCATCTCAAGTCAAGAACCACAAGTGTCATCTCCTAGTGTAGTTGGGACGTGCTAGAACATTCAACAACTAAGGCATTACATGTTGTGCTAATAAGCATGCCAATTTATATTGTTTCAGACACTTCTACAGAACCATCAACCATTGTGTTAGGTGCATGCTTAATAACCAGATTTTTGTTAGCAAAGTTGGCAGAAAGAGAATGCAAAGTCATTTAATAACATATTGATAAATTTTTAGTTCAACATCAAGAAGAAGAATTAATGGCCAAGGCAATCATTGCATTGGAGTTGCCATTGCTATGAGAGTTGACGCAATCAGAGCTAGGAGTTAAGGAGTACAATCTTTGTATTCTAAAAGCTTTAGGATGCAAAGAATTATTCTCTTGTAAAGCCATGAAAAAAAACCTTCAACCATATTGCATCTAGTGAAGATATGGCATTGTAACTAAGACCTCATATAAGCAACAAAATAGCACCTCCATGTCTATTACAAAAGCAATTGTGGAAAAAGCTATCACAACCGTCTTGGTTTGACAAAGGAAAAACAAAGACGTATGAGGTCAAATGCACTTTTAAACTGCCCGTTTAAAATAATCGGCCAAGAACATAAAGACCACTTGTCATTCAAAGTGCATCATGAGGATCACAATTATGAACTGTGAGCAAAGGCATTTGCGCATGCTGTGCATCTCAGGTTTGACGCTTAGATGAATAAGACTATGGTTGACTTGTACAATGTTGTACAAGTCTTTATTCAAGAAAGAAGTTGCAAAATATCCTCCAAGCCACAGATTAGAAAAGCTGGATGGACGAACGCCCATGGACACATTGGAGCAAGTCTTTCGTGATGCTAGCTTCACTGTCAAAACCTTCTTGGACGTTGGCGAGAAGGTAAATCACCTCTATTTTGCACATCCATCTTCCATTGAGATGGTGCATGCACATGCAGATGTGTTGCTCATCGTTGCCACGTACAAGACAAACGCATTGAGGATTCCGCTGTTGCTTGCACATTGTTGGTTGTTCCTCAATGTACACAACCAACTCAATGGCGTTTGTATTAATTGTCAATGAGGATGAAACATCGTACCTCAAAGCGACGGACTACGTTCGAAAGTTGTTCTCTCCCGCAGTGTTTATCGTTGACAAGGAAATTTGACCAATTTGACCAGTCTTTGACCAAAAGGAACATTCTTTAAAGTTCGAATCGAGTGGTAGGAGACCCGCAACGACCTGCTGCGTTGCAACAGTCAGATGCTGTTCTCCCTCCTCAAACTTAGTACTGTAAAATGTAAGCTGTTCAGAAGAACACCAATTCACAAACCACTCCGATATCTCCTACAAGAAGTTTCTTCAAAAAAATCTCTCCAATGGAAATCATGGACACCTACACGCCCCATTTCATAAGCATTTCTAGAAATAAGAACAAAGGATATGGCCCAGAAGTACTAACAAATGTGACCTACTTTTAGTCTGTCAAATCACGTGCGTGGGAATAGACAATCCATCAACCGTAGACGCTGCCTATCAATAAAAACGAACCCAAATTGCTAAGAAAAGAACTCACTCGAGCTCAGCTAACATTCATAGAATGTATCGACTACAACATTTTACTGCAAAATTATGGATCTACTGTGAGGACTGACCACCACCGAAGCCGAAGCGGCAGTTGATCAGCGACCTCAGTATCGGAACTATCCCAATCAGAACCATCTGCAGCTGCTCCGAGCTGCTCGCTCTGATGCTCACTTGACCCGATCCCCTGTTGTTCAAGTTCGCCCTCCCCACCATCATCGTCTTCCCCACCATGAACTGCGACTGTAAGTTCCCCCCGATCGCAAGGTCTCCGTGCCAGTCCATCACTGACAGCCCCAAAGTCGACAGTGTCCGACTCAACGGGTACTCCTTCCCCCGAAGCGTCGCCTCCAGGCTTCCGCCGAACGCCTTGTCGCCCTTCCCTGTCAGCACTCCCCCGTTCACCACCATCTTCACCCTCTTCCCTATCAAGATCCTGTCCTCCAGCTTCACCCCCGCCGCAATCGTGTCGTTCAAGTACGTCGCCGTCACTCCTGCCGTCGTCTTGTTCCTCTTGAAGTTGTTGAACCGCGTCTCTGCTCGCAGTGTGTATGCCAAGTCCTTTCCGATGGTCTGAACGTCGAATCCCGTCAGAGTCACCTTCCCCTCTCCGTGCTTCAGCGACGCCGCTGCTTCGAAGTTCACCTGCGACTCCTTCTTGTCTTTCGTCACCTGCCCCGAGATGGACGCAGGGATCTTGTTCTTCACCACGAACATCTTCTCCACATTGAACCCATCGTACCCAGCGTCGTGATCCCACCCGTGCGTCTCCAGAACAGGACGCACCAACCACTGGTTCGCGGTCTCCAAGTAGCGATACCTTCACACGGGTTCACCCAACTTAGAAACATGCTCCCCTGCATTGCTTCAATCCACACCCACACGCGCATACAGGGGAACCAATCCAGAAACAACACTCATGGGGCATAGGCATGCTGTGCTTGGACATTTAGCAAGATGAGTGGTGGTGAGTACCTGTGAGTGGGATTGTCAGAGTCGAATGAAGGAGGCAATGCCATGTCTGGCATGGGAACTGGCACTGCAGCAGGTTGTCCGGCCTCATCATCTGCTTCATCAGCAGGGTGTGATAGCCCCTCCTTTCTCATCGCTGTAGCTCGCTTTTTCATCTCTTTTCTTCTCTGCAACTGCTCCCTGTGCTGCTTCTTTTGAAATAGCCTCTCTCGAACTGCAAGTTCTTCAGCATATTCCTGCCTCTGATCTTTACTAAGCTCTTCCAATTCTTCTTTAGAAAGAGACCTGAAACAGGGCACGGTTCACAAGTTTAGTAGCGGCTGACACCAACCTTACACCCGTAAAGGTTCTCTAAGTTTCACTTAATATTACTTAAATGGACTGTAGCACCTCACATTCCATTAAGAAAGCATAAGAATACAGTAGAAAATATTGGGCACAAGATGCTAAATTAAAAATGGAGCTGTACCTGAAGGGTGGAAGATCGTCATACTCATCGCCTTCTTCCTCATCCTCCTCATCATCATCGGATTCGTCCGACTCATCAAGTTGCTCGTCTGGCAACTTCAGCTGAGCTCGGGATTGGAGCAAAGAGGAAAGCAAAAATGGTAGAGGTGGCACCCGCGACCGCTGCCCAAATGGTCGCCCCGGTGCTGCCGTGTCCTGAAGCTTCAGCAACGTGTTTGCCTCTGCTAATATCTTTGAAGCAAAACACAGCAACATCAAATGTGGCTTCCATATCTGTCCATTGGGCAGAACTCGTTGTCCATTACGGTTGGCTCTGCAAGCAGGGTGGTTCTCCACTAACGAGACCGGGTTCTGAAGCCTCATGTCTCCAGCTACTTGTCGAATCGATTGTTGCACTGAGTGTGACCTTTGTGCCACAAACAATTCATAACCCATAGGAGTCCCATTGGGTCCATCTGGAGGGGCCGTCGAGGCGTGTGTCAACACGACAATGGTATTGAACCACACTGCGGTTCCAAACACGTTGGTGATAGTCCGAAGTAAGGGCACGTCACCGAACTCTCGAGTCTGCATGTCCATACGATCGAAGTACAAAACTATGTCTGGAGATGCTTTCTTGATATATTTTTTCACCCGACCCATGATGCGCTCATTGTGCCGTTGGTCTGCCACAGAAAAGAGTAGCCCAGGTGTGTCTACAAACCTCACCTGAACCAAAAGAATGGTATAACGTGAGCTTTCCTAAAAGTAAGATCACAATCAACTACATTACAGCTACGCAACTAGGAAGCACGAGGTCAATACTAAAGTGCCATTTGAATAAGAATCAGAGAAGAGAACAGCAAAACAACTTCCATACCTTGACGCCGAGCATAGTTCCAACAACCTCATAGACGTTAGTTGTGGACGGATTATAAGCATTTGTTACTGACTTGTGCTCATCAAATATTGAGTTAATGGTCGCACTCTTTCCAACTCCAGTCTTTCCAAGAACCAAAATTGTGCATGCAAAGTCAAGCTCCTCCTCTTGGTTATCTGCCTCCTGCTCCTCTGCGATAGCGTTGGCACGATCAAAATCGAACGCCCTCGTGTGATTGCGGGTGCTGCCGCCTCTCAATGACTCTGCCAAGCCTAGACGGTACAACACTTGAGCCACGACCACGTTCTGCGGGGATTGACCCAAACGATGAACCAGCCTCAAGAACTTTACCCTGATGTTTTGAAGTTTCTCCCGAGTTTCATTCACTTCATTTACTTCAATGCTTGGGTTCACGTCAGTGGTTCCTGCGACCTGGGTTGATGAGGCAGCATTGGAAGATTGCGTGTCCGTTGCTGCTGTAGAAGCAGGTCTTCTAGCAGTTTTTCGTACCAGTACAGAGATCAAAGAGGGTCCAGCTGGTCCTAGTGATGGGTTATTTCCACTCTCATTTTCAGATTCTACAACAACGAGGTAAATGTTAGCCACATAGTATGTCTCTTAATACGTCAAAATTTGACCAACGTTAGTGCATTTTGATGAAGCAGTGTACGTCAACAAGTTGGAAAACCAAGGATTTCCAGTTGAAAAAGGGTTCCCCCAACTTGAAGACTGGAGTACTTGAAAACCCTTCAGGACATGCAATTCAGAAGTACATGATAATATCCACAATGCAGTGATCAAGGCCTACCGGATTTTCCAGCCGCCTGCCGAATGTTAATTTCTGTATAGCCATCTTCATGTTCGTCACCACTTTCAACATCTTCATCATCTGCATCAGCATCAGCATCAGCATCCGATTCACCTTCTGCAATTCTTGCAAAGCTCTGTGTGTTAGGTTGAGCTTTTTCGGACTTCAATTCGAGAAGTGCTGGATCAACTGGTTCTGAAGTAAAACGATAAGCTGGGCTTTCGATCACTGTCCGGGATTGTGTTAACTCCCTAGGAAATTCTTTCTTAATTTCAGTAGAATCTGCATCTTCACCTTCTTGGTCATAATTCTCCACGGCTACCTTCACGCTCCTCTCTGTCAATTCCTCCTGGACCTCGTGATCTTCCCGAGAATCTTTGAAGGCGTTTCCCAATTCGGCGCCCCGGGATGAAGAAGCAATTCCTCTTGCTTCGCTCCCAAGTTTCAGACCATTTGGCATATTCTCCTCCGCAGTAACGGCTCTTTCCACATTGTACTTCAATTCTGTCACAGAGACTGTGACGATGAACTTCCCGGAATCCTCCGTGGAATCTCTCGATGAAACCCAGGCTTCTGGCTCATCTCTAAACTCCCTCGCAGTTACATTTCCAGCTGAGGCAACATCAATTTCTTCCAAGGGTGAATCCACTCCTCCGTCATAGACCTCCTCAAACTTCTCTTCAATTCCAGTCTCTTCTTCTGTTGAACATTTACAAAAAGAATCCCTCCATAAGCCAATAATATGCACCTTTCACTTTCGGAGCTTCATTTTTATAATTGCAGGGCAGATAGTCCCTCCTAATTATTTTGCAATTTCAGATACCAAGCTCATTTCTAAATTTAGACATGAATCGTACTACTCGAAGGAATAATCTCGCTTACTTTAATACTGAAATTTGAAAAAGCAATTGTGTGGGAGATTTATAACCTTTTCCATCTTCTTCTTCCTCGTCAGTTACTCCTGAAGGATTCGCCAAGGGCATGGCTCGCTCTGAGGAAGCTCCATACTCCGAGATATCCATTTCATCCTCCGTATTGCTAGCACTAGAGGAACATTCTGAGCTACTGCTACTGCTACTGCTACTAGTAGAATCTTTTTCACTGCCATCTTTTTCTACTTCACCATCATCGCCATAGTCATCGTAATAGAGATACTCTTCTTGTCCCCTTTCTTCCAAGTCTTCACTAACCCCACCTGCAAATTGGGACTGCTCTCCAACAGAACCCACCGGACTGGGAGGCTCAAAACTTGTAACTGAAGAAGCCGCTAGTCTTTCCAATGCACTGTCAAAACTCTCCCCACTTCCGACACTTTCTTCATCACCGCCTCGTTTCTCTTCAATCTCGGCTCCCACGTCATTTGAAACGCGTACTTTAATGGGTGCGAGTCCCGAAGGTGATGCCTCATCTTTGCCTCCAGTCTCCACCGAAGCTTTGGGAATTTCCGCTACCGACGCTTCGGTATATGATGAGCTGCTCGCCGTATCTAGAATCTTATCCTGGTTCCTGCCCAAACTACTCAGCTTGCGAAGGGCGTCCATGATTATCAATGCTTACCCGACCACTCCTTTTCAATGCCTCGTTCTTATGGACGCGCAACGTCAAGGACCAAGTAAATTGTAAAAATTGCGTCGAAATACTCGCTAATGAAAACCTTTGTTAATGTTTAAGCGGCAATAAGATTCTGAACAAAACCTTGAACTATAAAACAAGGATTAAATCGTACAAGTTCTCGGGAAATTAAGACCGAGATATTAACTTAGACACGTTAATAAGCTTGATAACTACAGCTGCAAAATCCAACAGAAGCAACCTGTCTGGCACAATAACCTTCACAGCAACCAAGAAACGGTAATATCACAAACCCCTTTTCTTCCTTACAGATAAGAGGAGTAAGCCAACGACAACCAGCATTCTCACCACCTACTTGGACTCAGAAGTGTTCATGTTTTTGCTGTGGTCGGCTTCGGGGAGTTCTCCATGGTTGAATGAGACACTTTCCCAATTTCATTGAATTTCTTTCAATTTGCCGTCAACTCCGAGGCAGCAGGAATAACAACTTCAACGAGAACTATTCTTCTCACGTACTCATATTCTGCATAGTAAAACTCAAAGTTCTTAAAAGCAATCATAATGACAGCATTGAAACGACTTAATGTTACCTTTCCGCGAGACACAGCACAAGCATGTTTCACCCAACGAAGCACTTTATCATAATTTCAGAAAGGGAGCGAAAAACTAAACTACCTCCTCAGTAATTCGCCAATTCAGTCGCCGTTTAAACAGTAAAACTAAATTGAAGGCTGCGAATAACGACAACCTTCTCCGCTCACGATAAACCTCTGCTAATCCTATAAAAGCCCGCCCTAGAACCAATCCCCCATATCCAAACCAACCAATCACTCCTTACAAATAAAAAATAAAAAACGAAACAAAAGAAAAAAGAGTAATGAAGAAAGTAACCCCAACAACAAGGACAACCACGACGACAAGTAATGACGCCCACATCACTCACCGTCACCAGATTTCCAGCAAAAAACATGCAGCCTACTTTCTTCACATCCAGAGTACGTTATAGCCACACTGCAGAGACCAACACCAGAATTCAAACCCTGAGTGAGGGGAACCACCCTCTTCTCCTCCAAAACCCATCACCACCCAGAAATCCTTGCGGTCACGCAATCATTTCATGACGAAACCAAAAACAGAAAACGACGTAGTCACCCCCAGAATTCTATGTTCCTACAGCAGTCTCTGTACTCGGAGAATGGTTTATCATTACTGGGCAACGGGTTGCAGATTGAGTCCATTTAAGAGGACCCGCACAATCGTTTCCTGAAGTGTGGAGAACCTGACCAGCAGCGAGGCAAGCTAACACAGGCTCGTGAAGGAGACGGCGAGTGACAAAGTGGCGGGTGAAGACGACCAAGGACTTAAAATTTCCAAACGATCACTCGTTCATTTGAATGATGCGGAAATGTACTTCCACTTTGTTGAATTCACCACTCGTGACGAGAATTCTGCGCGAACGTCGAAGGAACTACTCCTGGGCTCGTAAAAGTTTCCTTTCATTGTATTTGAGCAAGGAGCAGATGGACGGCTCTCCTGCGACTCCACTGTCTGGGTCTGTCCGCATGCTTGATTCTGAGTTGGGATTTTGTCCACATTCTATGGCTCATGCACACATGCATTGCGACGAATACGATTCGCAGCCTTTCGCAAATAAGACATGACTGAGACGGCCAACGAACGACTATTATTACCACTCTGTTCAAAATACCTCCATCACGGATGACCAGTGATCTGATAGAAGCGCTGATTGCCAGAACGTTCATGACACGGAAGCTTTCAGAAAAATGAACCTCGTCAATCAATCGGATAATTGAAGAGTCACAGCATCCTACAATTTAAATGCGAACAGGTGAGAGGAGTTGTGCTAGAGAAGAGCACAATTATGCTGTGTACCAAACTGATAAAATGAGCATAGAGTGAGGAGAGCCTTGATTTGAAAGCACAGCTCCAGGTACATTGAAATCACTGCTACAACAGAGTTCTCCTTGAAAGCCGAAACAGAAATGGCTATCAAGCCGTCAACATGTCACGGTGATAATATACCACTAACAACCCAGACTCGCTACAAATTCCTATGCCCGCAGACGAAATCCTTCTGTCATTGCATTCTCTAGTAGCTTCAAGTTCACTACAATACAGAGCACATGTGTGCGGAGAATGAAACTCCACACACTGAAAGTTGGCGACCAGGAGGCAACAAATTCCCACATGCGAAAACAGCCCTCACAAACCTCGTGCTAAGATTACTCTCCTTTCAAAACAATCGTATTACTGATCAATACGAGCAACTGACTTCCTAACACCGTTGCCCTGGACTTCCTTGCACAGCTGCTGCACAGATGGATGCCACCACTTTCGCCCAGCACCAAAACATTTAACTTCTACAAAAATTTGCTGAGCATCCAGAAATCTTCGCTTGTGCGAAGCGAGCTGTCAGAAGGGCAACGGGCAACTAAAATTATCTTAAAGATACCTAGCAATCTACTGTGAGGACTGACCACCACCGAAGCCGAAGCGGCAGTTGATCAGCGACCTCAGTATCGGAACTATCCCAATCAGAACCATCTGCAGCTGCTCCGAGCTGCTCGCTCTGATGCTCACTTGACCCGATCCCCTGTTGTTCAAGTTCGCCCTCCCCACCATCATCGTCTTCCCCACCATGAACTGCGACTGTAAGTTCCCCCCGATCGCAAGGTCTCCGTGCCAGTCCATCACTGACAGCCCCAAAGTCGACAGTGTCCGACTCAACGGGTACTCCTTCCCCCGAAGCGTCGCCTCCAGGCTTCCGCCGAACGCCTTGTCGCCCTTCCCTGTCAGCACTCCCCCGTTCACCACCATCTTCACCCTCTTCCCTATCAAGATCCTGTCCTCCAGCTTCACCCCCGCCGCAATCGTGTCGTTCAAGTACGTCGCCGTCACTCCTGCCGTCGTCTTGTTCCTCTTGAAGTTGTTGAACCGCGTCTCTGCTCGCAGTGTGTATGCCAAGTCCTTTCCGATGGTCTGAACGTCGAATCCCGTCAGAGTCACCTTCCCCTCTCCGTGCTTCAGCGACGCCGCTGCTTCGAAGTTCACCTGCGACTCCTTCTTGTCTTTCGTCACCTGCCCCGAGATGGACGCAGGGATCTTGTTCTTCACCACGAACATCTTCTCCACATTGAACCCATCGTACCCAGCGTCGTGATCCCACCCGTGCGTCTCCAGAACAGGACGCACCAACCACTGGTTCGCGGTCTCCAAGTAGCGATACCTTCACACGGGTTCACCCAACTTAGAAACATGCTCCCCTGCATTGCTTCAATCCACACCCACACGCGCATACAGGGGAACCAATCCAGAAACAACACTCATGGGGCATAGGCATGCTGTGCTTGGACATTTAGCAAGATGAGTGGTGGTGAGTACCTGTGAGTGGGATTGTCAGAGTCGAATGAAGGAGGCAATGCCATGTCTGGCATGGGAACTGGCACTGCAGCAGGTTGTCCGGCCTCATCATCTGCTTCGTCAGGTTGAGCCAATTCCTCCTTAGACATCTGTGCCTGACGTTTCTTCATCTCCTTCCTTCTGCGCATCTCTTCCCTGTATTGCTTCTTTTGGAACAACCTCTCTCGGTCAGCAAGCTCATCCATGTAGTCTTGCCGTTGCTCTTTGGTAAGCTCCTCCAGTTCTTCTTTGGAGAGTGGTCTGCATTATTGGGTTGTCATAAGTACAGAACAAATCGGCACGGACGCGAGAAATCAATAAATTTTTTGACTAAACCTGGGATTACCAATCACAAAATATAACGAAAACAAGGACAAGAGAGAGGAATGTATTGAAATCCTGACGAATTGTATCCTCTCAAGTCATGGGAGATAAGTGTATACCTGAAAGGAGGAAGTTCATCGTAGTCATCCGCTTCAGAATCCTCTTCCTCCTCATCGTCATCGGACTCATCCGACTCATCAAGTTGCTCGTCTGGCAACTTCAGCTGAGCTCGGGATTGAAGCAAAGAGGAAAGCAAAAATGGTAGAGGTGGCACCCGAGATCGCTGTCCAAACGGTCTGCCCGGAGTGGCTGTCTCTTGAAGCTTCAGCAGCGAATTGGCCTCGGCTAATATCTTCGAGGCAAAACAGAGCAACAGCAATTGTGGCTTCCAAATTTGCCCATTGGGTAGAACCCTCTGCCCATTGCGATTGGTTCTGCAAGCAGGGTGGTTCTCCACCAGTGATACGGGGTTCATCAACCTCATGTCTCCGGCTGCTTGTCGAATCGTCTGCTGCACAACATGAGACCTCTGTGCTACAAACATTTCGTAGCTCAGTGGAACTCCATTGGGCCCGTCTGGAGGGGCAGAAGAGGCGTGGGTCAACACCACGATGGCATTGAACCAAACCGCAGCTCCGAACAGGTCAGTAATGGTTTTTAGCAGAGGAAGATCGCCGAAATCACGGCTCTGCATGTCCAGACGATCGAAGTACAAAACAATGTCTGGGGACGCCTTCTTGATGTGCTTCTTGACTTGCCCCATGATGCGCTCATTGTGTTGTTGATCTGCCACAGAAGGGAGTAGCCCAGGTGTGTCTATCACCCTAACCTGCCATTACACACGAAACGATGCCACATGATTCCCCAATAAAAGAGCTTGAACAAAAATACTTCTTATAAGATTATGCTTTAGGAACCAAACACTGCTGAACCCATCTTCGTACTACTTTAATGAATCATCCATATTAGTACCTTGATACCGTGCACAGTTCCAACAATCTCTTGGACTTTGTTGGTCGATGGTTTGAAGGCGCTTGTCACTGACTTGCGATCATCAAATATCGAGTTAATGGTCGCACTCTTTCCAACTCCAGTCTTTCCAAGAACCAAAATTGTGCATGCAAAGTCAAGCTCCTCCTCTTGGTTAGCTGCTTCCTGCTCTTCCGCAAGGGCGTTGGCGCGGTCGAAACTGAATGCTCCCGCGCGATTGGACGTGTTGCCACCTCTCAATGACTCTGCCAATCCCAGACGATACAACACTTGGGCCACGACCACGTTCTGCGGGGATTGACCCAAACGATGAGCCAACCTCAAAAACTTAACCCTGATATTCTGAAGTTTCTCTCGAGTTTCATTGCCTTCGGCTGTGTCACTGTTTGCGTTCTCTTCGGTTGTAGCTGTGAGTTGGGTTGACGGAGCACCGTTAGGACGTTGGGTAATCCTGCCAGCCGTGTCTAATGCTGTTGCAGCAGCTGTTTTCCTAACAGCTGGCCGTTGAGGTAAAGAGGGCAAAGAGGGTCCAGCTGCACCCATTGATGACTTTTTACCACTCTCAGCACCATCCCCTACAGAAATTAACACAACCGACACATTTAGGCAAGTAAATATACCCACACAAATATCTTAAAGAGAACTAATAATAAGAGTATGTGCATTAAACAGCAATTCAAAGACCTAAGCTTCGTTGACACCGAGCAGAAAGCTCGCAATCTACTCTTCGTCTTAAAAGAATATTAAGAATTATGAACTGCATAGTAGTAAATGGTGTGGCAGTTAGAACCAACGAATGCAACAAACGAAAAGAACAGTGCAGATCTAAAACAGTGTAAGTTCACAGACAGCTGCAGTATATCACATTACTAAGATGTTTCGTAGCCCAACACGCAGCAGTAATTGTAATGTACGCAGAAGACGTTCAAGAACAATTAGAGAAGACCAATGCTAGAATGTGGGGCTCACCAGATTTTCCAACTGCATTGGCTAGCTCTGCTAGCGCTTTGGCAGTAACCATATCTTTGTCATCTTCATCATCGTCATCTTCGTCATCATCTTCGTCATCCTCATCATCCTCGTCCTCAGCATCAGCGTCCGAGTCACCATCTTCCTCAGCGAAATCTATCGCTGAGAAGCCCCGTGGTTTTGATTCTACCTTTTCTGTCTCAACTACAGCTTTATTCTCGGACTTCAAGGGAGGCATTTCGTCGTCCACCGCTTTCAAGGCAGTGTACATCTTCGCCGGACTAGATACCACTGCTGGACCTTCAATAACACCCTCAGGTGCCCCTTCACTGACAAGGGCAGGGTCTACTCCCACCTTATTCTCTTCCACTATCTGTGCCTCGGAAGATCCCTTTTCAGCATTACTAGGAGTGAAATCATTGCCAACTTTCTCAAGGTCTTCAATAATTGATGACTGCACTTCAACAGAGCCCTCACCATCATCCACTTCAGGTTCTTTAGGGGAACTAGATTCTGTCGATGCAGGTTCGTCTTCCTTATTAGCTCCCTCGGATGAACTGGCAGTTGCTACGGTGATGTCTTGTGAGGTATCCTTCACATCAGCCTTGCTATCTTCTTCGACAGGAATTGTGGCATTATCGCTCGATTCATTCTCCAATCGAGCAGCAGCTAACTTCTCCAGCTCAGCCACAAGGTCGTTAGATGCGGCCCTTCTGACAACATAGTTTGACTCAGTTACAGGAAAAGAATCGACATCGAATTCCTTCACCTCGTCAGGCTTGCTATCAGTGGAGGCATTCTCAGTACCCACTGCAGGCTCAGCTTCTTCATTCGTGAAAACCTCTTCGCTCAGTGAGCGAGAGGCAGATAGCTTTCGCAACTCTTCAGCCAAATCGGCTGAGCATTCTCTATTCTCTACATCCATTTTCGGTGCAGTGGTTGCTTCGTCAGTCGTCTCCAATTCACCCTCCTTCACATCTACCGTTGCAAGAGGAACTACTTCAGAGGCAACTACTTCCTTTACTCCTACATCAAAATTTTCAGGTTCAGCAACAAGTGACGAAACTGCCCGAGTCAGTTCTTTCTCTTCCTCGTGAGGCTGTTCAGACTCTACAACCTGGGCTTCTTCGATCTTGGCCGCTTGGAGCGATACTTCCAAGCCCCGCTGTTCTTCACTAACATCTTCACGACCGCTACCCTGTGTATTCACGAAGTTCTCTACATTCGAGCTATCGTCCGACTTCAAACGATCACCAACTTCAGTCTCTGCAGGTTGCTCTACTAAGGGAATGTCGGTCACCTCCTTGGAGGTCGTCTCTTTTCCAAATTCTTCCTTACCAGTTGCCTCCGTTACAGCACCTCCCTCTTCCTGCTCGGCTTCATCTTCCGTTTCCTCTTCGTTAAATTCCTCTTCCGAAAATTCGTCAGAGATATCATCACCAGACTCCCGAGCTATGATTCGTGGCATACTACGTGGTAAACTGCCTTCGTACTCTTGTCTAAATGCAGTGGAGGTAGCGTATTCCTCCTCTCCAAAAACTTGGTCATTCGCTTCTTCGAATTCTTCTTCATTGTCCACCTCTTCTTCTGTTGTATATGCAATTAAATTGATTAGTCAATTAAATAAGCAAAGTTAGCAACAGTCAGCAGTACAAATACTTGCCCAAATCCCATTGACTTCTCTCAACATATGCAGCAGAACAAAATGCAGTCTTATTACCATCGTCTTCCTCGACGTCACCATCTTGATCTTCGTCCACGGTAGTAACTTTGGCAACAGGCATGGTCCTAATAGGAACCTCGGAAAATTCTTCTTCTCCTTCAGAGTTCCTAGCCCTAGCCTCATCCTTCGCGCTACTGCCGCCTCCATTCTCCTTTACTTTGTTGCTCTCGTCTTTCTCGACGCTTTCCTCTTCCTTCACCTCTGGTGCTGTATCCTTGGTCTTCAGAGCATCAGCGTATGAACTCACAGGGCTGGAAGGCTCAACACTTGCAGCAGAGGAGGCACCAAACCTCTCAACGGCGCTGTCGAAGCTATCGTTGTCTCCGCTTCCGTCAACTTCCTCTACTTCATCTTCCGTGTCATCGGTTACAGGTGCCCGAGGAGGACTGGGGCCCACGTACGAATCACCCCTCCCTTCAATTTCCACTCCATTAGGTCCACCGCCGTTACTCCTTTCAACCGCAACACTCGCATCTTCAGTGGTCTCCTTGTTCCCCTCCATGCTGCTCACCTTGCTAGAGGTATCCATGAATCCAAAAGCGTCGCCAAAACCTCAACTTAATACTGTGGCGTCAGTGTAACATCCCCGGGGCAGCACCAACCATCACCCAAACAAAGGCCTTGAAGGATTCTTCTTCTTTTATCTGTGCACCCTCTGTAATCACCACCCAATTACCCCCATCTTATTAAAGAATCCCCGCAACAATCCACAAGTGTTCGAAAACAACGCCTGTGCTTCATCCCATGATGCACATTCCGAATTTAACCAAATTCACATCCCCGCCCTAGAATAAACTTGAATATCTTGGAAACCTACGAAAATAATCATAAACCTTGAAAACACAACAGAAACAGAGAATTACGCATGTCGACAACCCACAAACTGACAACAAGTCCGCCACGCTTCCATGAAATCCCAAAACAGAAACGTCCTCAGCGAAAAAACAAACACCCCTTCGACAAACAAACAAAAAAACAAAAAAAAAAAAAACATCACTCAAATTCAACCCAAATACGCACGACATTCACGCCTCATCACGAGCCAAACCCCCCCAAAACCTCACACCACCGCCAGCGCTCGAGGATTCCAATCCACCCAAACGAAACACCACCAGAAGGCACCTACCCACAACATCAATGTCACCAACAATCACACATCCCAAAACGAACTGTCCCCCCAAACGCTAAACCCTTCAAAACCCTCGAGACGAAACCCCAAACAAACACCTTACCGCTCACAATCCACCACCACACACGCTCTACACGCACCCAAAAAACGAAACAGCAACAACCAGCGAAAATGCGAATTGACACTGCCAGATAACGCCTGGGACAAGTACTGCCTGCTACGAGACACACCGTAACCCCAGAAAAACCAGAGATTGAGTGAGACCCCAGATTGGCATGCAAAATACGTGAGAAAAAGCGTAATGCGCTGCTTACCATCTGCGGGGTGAGATGGGGAAGAAGAGGGTGGGAAGGGGCTGTGGCGGAGAGTGAGGCAATCCAAAGAGGAAGAGGAACTCTACCTCACTAACTATCTCGTTCACTCTCTTTCACTCTCTGTCTCTGTCTCTCGCTCTCTCGCCTGCATAAGCACAAGAGGGCACTACTACTACTGTGGGGGTGACGTGATGAGATGAGATGAGACCCACCTTTGCTTGTGCTTCGGAGTTTTTATTTGATCTGCCCGCTGCCCTATGCCCGGGTTTGGCTTATCCGGTTCCGCATGCTGCCCGGCGACAGCAGCCCGTTGAAGAGGGGGGGCAGCTGGACGGCTCTTCTGCACTTGCCCCCTTTATCATCCCCCTGCCCTAATTTTTCCTCTCTTCCATCCCAGTCCTAGGTTTCACTTTGCTTCCTTCCTTGCCGTTTTTTACCCATTTTTTAATTTTTTAAATTTTAAGTTTTTTTATGTTTTTTTGGTGAGGGAAAATGGGTTGTGTTGGGTTGATTTTATCTCAAGCAAGGTGGGATTGTTGGACCGTCTCGGTTTTTTTTTTTTTTTTAATTTAGAAATTTGGAAATTTGACTTGTTGGTAAAAGGAAAGATTGTAATGGTTTGGTGGCTGATTGTTTTTAAGTGTTTTTTAGGGTCAAAATAGACACAATAACTGGGAATGTTACACTAGATTTGATAATTACTTTGTTGTTTGCAAATTATCTCATTAAGTGTTTTTGAAGACAATCTTGATGCTGTGATTTGTATAGTAGATCATGGTACTGAAAATGCATTTTTCTTCGATTTAAATAGGTTTAAATTAAAATGCCCAGTTAATTCCCTTATGATTCGTCCTTAATCAAAATATCAATCACCTTGAGATCGAGTTTATTTTATTGATATATATATAGTAAGAAGACGGTGTGTACTGACTTGTGAGAAATCAACCAAGGCCTGATTAATGAATTGAGATTTCAGATTTCAATTCTTAAGAAAAGGATTGTACACCATGTTCAAAATTTTAGACTAGATAAGATTGAAGGTTTACATTTGAACAATAACATACACATGTTTTCAGTAAACTCTATAATTAACTAATAAAGATATGGGGATCTACTCGTTGGGCATGTCAACTTGCATCAGAATACTGTCTCCTAATCCAGTGGACATGATTCCATGTGATCGCCTGAACGTTTCAAAAATACCGCATTGGAATAGACTTTAGAACCACGGTCACGTTATCTACAAGCTTCATATCGACTGTAAATTATTGAAAGAAAAGCATTTAAAACTTTAGAAACATTGAGAAAGCTGCATGGGGCTTTAGAAAAAGTTTGTTGACACTTGGCAAGTGCACCTGCACTGGTGTATGTAGATCACACCAGATAGTCCAAACTCATGGACCCACAACAACAAAATGCAAAATGCAAAATGCAAAATGCAAAAAAAAAAACTCGTTATCTAAAAGCAAGCTCAAGTCAAGAGAATTTTGCAGTTCTAAAAGAGTACTTGTGAATGGTCTCTAAGTGCAATTTCGATACAAGAGGTGGGGTAGCTGGTCCTCAATACACTTCAATGAAGTACATACTGCCGGTGTAGACAATATTGATATAAAAGAAAACTGGAAGTTCATTGATATTGTTACATGATGAATGCACTTGTTTCTGCAGCAACTAAGACTACGTTACATTGCGTGAGAGCTTTTCAGAATCTTAACTAATGGACTAAGCGAGAGCCCCGAAGGAGAGATGGATGACCGAAAAAAACAGTAAATCAAACGAGTAGCTGTTCGGTAATATCCAGTGGATGACAATTATTGTATGAAGTTGGAGACAGGGTGAAAATCAACCTCTATTTCCCTTTCAACTTGCAGTATGCATACATGCCTGATCCAATAAAGCCTAACAACTGCCCAAACACATTGAGCTGCACAAGCAAGTTCCACGGCTGCTATGGTCAGCTTCAAAAACATTTCTCATCACACTTTTGATATTTGCAACCTGATGTAAGTTTCCCATCATTTGCAATAAAATCTACTAGACAAACCCAGCTTATGAGATTGAGTTGCATACAGATTTCGACTGAGTTGCATGCTGGTTTGAAATTCGGCATTCATGCATTTCGAAGATACAAAAAAGAACTTGCTGACATGAAGAGCTTGAAACAAATTGACAACGAGAGAAGTGCTTCATAACGTACCCAGTCAAATGGCAACCCACCAAACCAGATCCAGCCAATCAGAACGGTGCCTAGGTCCTGTTAACATTAAAATCCATCTGTAAATTCTTCGTCTGAAAGTCTCAAGCGAGCTGACTGAACGTATAGAGGATTTAGAGGTAGAATTGACTAATTGGGCAACTAGAACGACGACATACCTTGAGATTGCCACACATGGTCTGCGTAAGAGCAGAGTTGAGAGTGGTATTCAGGAAGATGGTGTAATTCAAACAAAACGCCATCATGCAGGACAACGCCGTGACAAGCTGCAATCAGCCGAGGAGTCAGTATTCTCCACAGCGTCACGTCTTCAACTGAAGGCATTGCTCAGATGCAAACATCAACGAAGGGCTACATGTGAACTTCTTGTCCATGTGAACCCACTACCGTAACAATAACAAAAACAAGTTTCTCAACAAGCAGGCAGGCAGGCAGGCAGGCGGGTCTACATGATAAAATCAAATTAACCGACCTACACAAAAGCGGAGCCGCAAGTGCAGATATATGTAGTACCTGAAATCCTAAAACGTGGATAGATTCAAAACGAATAGCCATGTCGAGTTCACCACTAAAGAAAATCCATGCGAATAGTAATGGACCACAAATGATGCCTGCACAAGAGAAGAATTCCACAGTTGTAGTTCATTAATAATTTAAGTCCTTCGTTTCTGAGAAGGATTTTTGACAGCGAAGTAATTTGAAGTGTTGATAGGATAACATGATTCTAGAACACAGTTTACAGTGTGAACAAAACAGAAGCTCAGATACAGTGCATGACATCAACATCCGTCCCAGTGAAAAATGATGGGCACTATTATAAAAAAATAGAATGAAATGGGTAATATAGTTGTGATACCATTACACCACATGAGGCCGAAGCTGTTCAGCCCTGTTGTCTTTCCTGCCATGATTAATCATCCTAAATGATGAGAATACCACTTCAAGCAGTATACATGATCAACAGTTATACTCAGCGTTCAATCGAAAATTCAAAGATGGCAGCATATAGTTTAATTAGACCCAGCTTCAACAAATCAAAACAGGATAGAACAGAACAGACTCACAGATACATTCTCCAGATCAAAGACTTGTCACACAAAACTGCAGCTGGACCCAGAACAGAGCTGCAAGGAACTTACGTCACGTACCAAGGCGTGCAATGGTGGCAAGATAAATAGCTGTTGTCAAATTAGATAGAAAAACTAAAGCATAGCCTCCTAATTCAAATGAGAAATCTCTCGATCCTGCGATGATGACTCCAAAGACGATGATTGCCACACTGTCGCACCATATACCACCCGTCCTTATGTGTCATTCACTTGAAGCCCAATATGTCATACCCTATTTGATCCTTACCAGGTTTGCATCCATAAAACGGAAGCATCAGAATGGTGCCCATCACTACATTATAAGAGCCACTGCCTTGTCGGAAACTAGATGCAACAAAATTTTCCAGTTCAACCAACCTTTCGCAGTAGTGTTCAGCATCTGAAACAATAGAGGATAACACTAAAATCTACTTTAAAAGCTAAAAGATGCCACTATAAAACGATGCAGGGAAAGCTTGCTAACCTTGCAATAACAGGGTTCGTATGTCTTTGCCCTACAAGGAAATATTCCATGATCATAGTAAATAGTACCGTTGTTCTCCGCAGAGTAGTGTACATGGGCACACTTACACCTCTTATTGAAGCCATTCCCACCACCTGTCATCAAGGGAGCCATTCTGAGAATCACAACCGGATTGAGGAAAAAATGTCTTACCAGTAATATTTTAAAATGAATAAAACTGACTAGGAAAGTAAACATACCATATAGAATAAGTAGGCAATTGACAGAGGGGATGTTTCACGAAGTATTCGTAAGGGAACAAAGCGTTTGAACGCGGCTCTATCCGGGCTGTCATCCGTAAATTTGATGATATCCAGTTTTCGAAGGACGTATAACAATGAGGTTGATACTATCATCTGATGCATATAAAACGTTAACATTAAACACTGCATTGGTTGTACTATGTCTCATGCACCATCGAACACATGAAGCTAGATGATAGCCATAGACAGTCACGGACGCACATAAAAGCAAATAAAAGAAACACCGTACCGTAACTTAAGCTGCACACTGATCACACATTAACTCGGCAAAAAATTTAAACACGCATCTGAATGCACTCTGGCTTTCTCTACGTCATCTCACAGAAAGAACTCTAAGACACACGAAGTAAATGGACAGTCCGCACCTGCATTACTGTGATGACATTTGCACAAGGAAATTTATAACTCGACAACGCTGCTTTGTTGAACATCACCAATAGAACTGCAATCCAACTCAGGGCGTCCACGCTATGAAGTTACTAATACAACACAGACTGAACCAATTCCACTTATAAGATTAAGTCCAGCTGGTAACTCTGAACTTCCGCAGTTCAAAGATCCACTATATGTGGGGCTAAGTTTGCCAAGAATACGCGTAAGTTGAAAAACCTAAAGTTAAAAGTCTAAGTAAGAGTTCATCACAAGTTACAAGGTTCCAAAGCAAGCATCCTCAAATTCCATCAAACCTTACTATCTGTCTGACTTCTAAATTTCATATATATAAAATCAGGATTGAACCAAATTTCAGTGCCTAATTTTGTTTGACATCCTCAGCGAAGATTTCAGGAATTCCTTGCGTTGAGCAATGTCCACAGACAACTATTCCACATGCAACACTCCCTCCAAGACAGTTTCTGTGTACATCTGGTATTACGCAGGTTGCAACGAACAAGAGCCCCAAGAAGTCGATACAATTGAAACACTGCAACTGCCGAAGCAAGCTTGTACATCGAATACAAGAAGGGAATTCTAACCTGCACAGGCCATGTACGAGAGGGCAACCATAAGGCCGCGACGGGTCATCGGCTTCGGTTTGAGTCTGTGTAGCGTGGTGTCCATTGTCGCCGCAGTCGGCGTGACTATCGGAAGTGGAGTAGAAGCGCTCATTTTCATCGACTCATCCATCATTCTCACCCCAACCCAACTTCAGAAACGCGGCAGTGGCCTGTTCCCTGTCTTCATAAACCCTATTTGAACCTCTACAACAGCATTCCTCTCAAGAAGCTGATCCAACTCATTGTGGAAGCAATTGAAGAAAGCTTCACAAAGTAACCCGAATGTTTCATGTCTGACTAAAAAGCATCATCATACTCGACAAACGTCAAAGCACCTTCTCTACATAAATGAAGGAGATTTTTCTTCAACGACCAGATGGTCATTCCCTTTGACCCAATTTAAGTGATCCGCAATTAACACAAGCTTGAAATGGTTTACCAAACTGAAAAATCCACAGAACGACACACACTGACAAAACAACGACGGATCAACCGTCCCGCGAAAGGCCCCACGGCACGAAAGGCTGCTACTGAGAAGGACGAACACAGGAGACTACTCTGCCTTCAAAAACAATATCCGAATCTTCTAAGCTCTTGCATCCCATGACGCGATGGGGACTCGATGTTAAACACGAAGATCGCCCTAATACAGTACAAATCCAAATGCCCATTACGTTGGCAACAAAACGCGGCATGGTAGTTACCTCAAAAACCTCACGGCAACTCGAAAACTCGGCTATAGACACTTCTGAGCACGTGCTCCCGAGGGCCAAACTCCGCCAAAGTCATAGTGGGATGAAAGTTCCAGAGGTATCACCAATCTCATGCAACCTGTGTCGAGTTAAACTTAGACTATTTGACCCTAGATTTGGTTTCTATAGTGTCCACATGATCTGCCACAAATGGAGGCAAGTAATGGGCAATGTTTTCTCATTCATCCTTGTTGGGTACATATTTGAGAGTGTCTCATGAACAGGTACTGAGCCTCTCATGCACTCACACAAGTGACAATCCATGTTTGTCATCAACTGTCGCAAGCAACTGCTCATTATGAATTCAATCCTGAATGAGGTGGAAATCGAAAAGGCCTTGAAACCCTCCAAAGAATTTCCGAAAGACAACCTTCGAGAACATGAAATCTGTAGAAAGACTGCAGAAAATCCCACAGCTGGGGGGTGATAAAGTATTTATGGATTCGTCAGAATGTGACCTAATCAGCACGTTGTTAATCACATCTATGCGTGAGCGACGCTTCAAAATGTACCGCCAGGTGCAATGGCTTTTGAATTGCAACTACAATGGCATAAATTGCAACAACGACGGTTGGAGGAACTTGAATATGACTTAGAGTTCATGTTAACAGAGTGAATACAATCTGAAGATCAACGGGAACAGCATAGCATATCCAGGCATCAAATCAAGTAGCTACAGTAGGACATAAGATAGCAGCCGAGGAGCGGGACGAGAATGCAATAAGTTCACCAATTGATATGCCATTTAGCGAATAAATCACTTACAAACGTCTCTCAACATGTGGAACTCGTGGAGGGTTTCTTGCGTATCATTCAACTATGTAGAGGAGCCATAGAGTAGAATCTTTTTTCTGTGCAAAAGTAGAATCTTTTTTCTGTGCAAAGGACCAGTAGGCTCTGACTTGTACTCCACGTGGTTTACAACCATCTATCAACAAACTTGCATCTCAATTTCGACGGAAGTCTGACAATAACTCCACCGTCGACTATACAAAGATTTCCGTAACTAATTGAAAACAATAATAGCTAATCTCTGAATATATCATTCCTTCAGGACCTTAGAATCATGTATTATGTCTACGTCAAGATCCCCATCTATAACCTCTGATGCCGTCCCAAGCTTGACTATGTCTTCCACTAAAATCTTACCCTCTGCATCCAGAGTAACATGAATTCAACGAGTTAGCATTAAATTTAAATTTGAACTAATTTTAAAAACACAACAAAAACAACAAACAAAAAACAAAAACAACTTGCAACACACGGCTATTGTTGTGGGACTCATTAAAACCTAGTCCTGAAGCAGAGCTCACGAGGCAACCAAGTCTTATATAAACCTATTTTTAGAACTAAATAATGGAGCTTCTGAGAATACATTGCCGACTTTGTGTTAACGTTGTGTAAATACGAGTAAATCGAAATTACTTCAACAGAACAGAAGGTCATCTTGATAATGAGTTAAATTAGGGTACTTGTATCAAAATAGTAAGAAGCATGTAGACTATACCTGCATCCTTCGCCAAATTGGCTATAAGTTCATGCACGGACTCCTTATCGAGACTGTCCTTCAAAAACGCAGCTGCTGCAGCCACCTCCTCCGGTGTAACCTTCCCATCATAGTCTCTGAAAAGCCACCAGTTTCAGTTGCAAAATTCCCCAAGTTCCTCATTTCCCAACATCAGGAAGCTCTGTTCTAAAAGAACATCAATAAAATCACGCTTTCATTGAGAGAGAATGAGTAATTAAATGAGCCACAAAATCCAGGAGCAAGAACTATACCTGTCTAATATTCTCCAACGATCACCGATCTTCAAATCAACATCATCCAGTTCTTTCTCGAGCTTGTGAAGCATAGCATCCACCTTCACAACACACAGTTGTAATATTTTAATAACAAAGCACTTCCATGAAAAAGGTGAATGCTTTCACAAGAGATAAAACAAATCCACCTCCAATAATAAATGATGTGCCTCCTCAGCACTCTTTCTGTACAGACTCTTGCACGCCAGAACCGCATTGTAGTTAACCTTCAATATACCCTGAATTCTTGCGGTTCCACGGCCATTTGTGTTTTGGAAACCTCAGGGGAAGGTGGTTAACAGGAATTCTTAATCCAACAATGCAGTAAAATGTGGAACAAGGGCAGAGTTGTTACGATGGGAAAATACCCTTTCAATTAAAGCAGAAGAGACATGGTCTGCAGGAGACTTTGGATCTTCTTCTTCATGGTTTTGTGTGGGCCGTGCAGCATGGTAAAATGCCTTGCGTGCCTCTTCTTCACCATCTGTACCTTCCTTCTCAACCATCTGGTTGTAGAGCTCAATCTGTCGCCACAAATAATTCAAACGACTCATGATGTAAGTGAAGCAAGTAAGCAACGAATATACACATCCTAGAACTGTCTATATCATAATTAAAGTTCATATCAGCCCACCGATACCTACCACATTGACAGGATGAAGGATTTCGCCACCTCTCAAGCACAAGAAAAGTAGTTTAATCTAACGTATGCAAGACAAAAAGTATAATTTTATAAGAAATTCAAGTTACTTGACAGATTACTCAAGCAAGAATCAGACATCTACCTCATTCTTCACAAGTCTCAGGAATTCCCCTCGTTCTTTGCTGACAGACTGCATCACACAGTACAAAACTAGATCAGCACAAATCTCGGTTCGTAAAAAGAAATAACAACTCAGCACTCTCATAACCTCAAAAAGAAGCAACAATAGCAACACCCGAAAGGAGACGACAGTTATAAAATCATGCACGTGACTTCAATGGCCAGTTCACAACCTAAAATAACAATATGTATGGTATCGTCAAGCAGAACATGTCTAGTGATAGCATATTTTTGACCATATGAAATTGCAGATCATTGCTATCAAAGAAGAGACACAATTAAGTGAAGAAGAAACCTTAGGTGATGAATAGGCCAGGTCAAAGCGAGTGAGCAACTCACCGAGGCTGATGCTAGTACAGCTAGGGCGCCACTAAGCTTGCAAAGCTCCTCCCGTTTGTCCGAAGTTTTCGTTTTCGCAAGCTGCTGAGCTTCACGAGCAGTGGCGAGCATCATCTCACGGAGAGAATTGTCCTTCTCATCACTACCATCTGCGATTTTCTCTCGTTTTTCATTCTGGTCCACATCAACTTTCTCTTTCTCTTCCTCAGCCTGTTGCACAGTTTGACACCAGAACATAACTAATCGTGTCCCAAGTTCACCAGAGCAAGAATTCCAAAAGTGTACCGGGAAGTACCCCGCAAGCTCATTTTCTATAAATACATGTATTCTTGATAGGAATCAGGCTAAAGCAAGCTATAACCTTAATAAGCTCCTCTTCTGCTTGCAAGAACTCCAGCTTGCGCCTGCGCTCTGCTAGCGCCTCTTCACCAGGATCAGTCTTTTCTCCAACTGAGTCGATGACCTCATCAGGTAGTGACGACAGTGTGGCTTGCACTGCGTCTTCCGCACTCCTGCCAGCGACAAAGAATGACCTGCAATACCGACAACATACAATCCATCACTCACTGCACCGATGCTAAATTTATCACTTCACACCAATTGGCAGTACCAGAGAGAACGACACCCGATCTAACAAATCCTCCCTGAACCGATTTAAGTGCGAAGTAGGCATGATGCATCTATGCCAAAGTAAAAGCTTAGAAGTAACAATCCTTTTTCGTAGAATGTTACAGCATACCTGGAAAGAATGAGAAGGGAAGAAGGAAGAGAGTGATTTAATGATAAATCCAACCAATCATTCAGCTGCAGTGAAATGTAACCATGTCACCAATAAAAGTGTCAGATAATTAACATGAGCAAATGCAACACATTAACTTTCAATGCTTTATGGTTCCAAAGTCAAGTAAAGAATCCCATGTTTCATAAGCATAAAGATATCCAATATGAAAGTGAGAACAATAACAGTAATAGTATTGATGATGATAATAAAAAGGGGAGTAAAAGGGAATCAGAAAAATAGCAAAAGAAAGCAAAACTGCATGTTCCATAGGACATAACTTCGTATGCCCGCGCGAACTCAAAATCTTGCAAAAAAAGCTCTAAGAAAATACTATGCGGTTCCCAAAATCACCTGTTTGCGCATGTCCTCCACAGATCTCAACCCAAGCATACCACGTTCTCTGCAAGCTTGCCGGAGCTCTGACTCAGAAAGCGAATTCACACCCTCATTCTGTATCATCCTATCATCTTCCTTGATCCTGTAATTAAAATAGGCCCACGTCGACACCACACATTGCAGCATCATGACATACTGAACAATGCAGCACGAAAAAATTGAGATGAAATAGAGCAGACTAACATGCCACGACATAACAACTTATACAATACTAAGAAACTGAGATGAACTCCTTTTCAAACATTAAGTATCCACATCGAGTTTTAAAACCGCACTAAACCTATTCGGGATATTGAAGAAATAACTTTCTAAATCTGAGGATTGAGTGAACAGTCTCTGCGAGCGAGAAGGGTATTTCTGTACCATTGCAATTTGGTTCGAAGGCTGTATCGAAGATAAGCATCCGTGCCATAAGGTTGAATGTTCATAAGCTTACACATACTCACTAGCCTTGGTCTAGATTACACATTCCACCCACAGACGTCAAGTCAGCAAAAAAGGAGCTTCTGGTGAATGAGGTGCACTCAAACTCTTCGGATTCTTCAACATTCACATGATTGTACGTTTTATCCAAAAAAATAAAAGTACCACAACCAAAGATACTTAACTAATATTAGGGTGAGCATCTGTACCTGCTGATATTGTCCAATGTCAACTCATCATTGAACAGCTTTGCAAATGATAAGATGTCATCATTCTTTACTTGTCCTCCTGTCCTCACCTGTTTGTGGCAAAGATATCACGTAAGAGAGTAAGCGATAGATTGTATAAGCAACTTCTCAGAATAAAAAATATGTGTCCATACAAGAATGGCTACGCACACGACGATGAACTCTTTGTCGTGATAAACACAATTCTTGCAAAATATTGATCAAAGTCCTAGGAGGTTCGTAGGAGCTGCAGGTATAAAAAAAGGCTGGAATTCAATAATAAATAAATAAATAAATAAAATTCAAAAAGAGTAGGAAAAAAACAAGTAACCTTGTGAATAAAATCGTCCAAATCATCTGCTTTTCTGCGGAGGTCACCACTCCGGGAAGTTTTAAGCTCCTTAGCCATCTCCCCAACAGTGTCTTGTAAGAACTTGGCGTACTGAATCCTGGCGTTCAGTCTTTTCTTAAGTTGTTCCTACGAGAAGAAAAGAAGAACGCCCAATCGAAAAGTAAGTGTAAAATTCTTCAAAATCCTCCTCGCACAACATTGAGAAATAATAATTAAATTAAATGGTCCAAGAGAGCCCACATCTAATCAAAACCCTCAACAGAGAAGTAGGGACACCTACCTGCTCCTTCATTTTATCTTGGAAGGTGGATGGCAACATGTTTGGAAACAGTTTGAGTGCTACGGGTAACAGAAACTCCATAAAAGGAACGATTATGAACACTGCAAATGGTACAAGTCTGAAGATATCTGCGGTGGTGCGAGTCAATTGGCTTCGTTCTCGTCGGGACAAGCTCTTGCCACCAGCCAGCTTGAGTAGCAACCGTGAGCAGATTTTCACGTCAGCCCACAGCAATTTTGTTCCAATCCAATAATGTTGTAGTTCAACCCAGAATGCTTTCTTCCATCCTGATATCTTGTTTGCCCAGTCTTGACTGCCACACACACGAACCAATAATAAGAAACTCGACAGCAGCCAAAATTACAACTTGCAGAGGAAGTAGACATAAAACCGCCAAAAATCGACTTACGATAGTAACAAGAGAAGGATTCCAAATATCATCTTAGCATAAAAACCAAGGTCTCGCTTAGAATCATAACCCGTGTTGAAATAGCTCAAATAGTAGCAATAAATGGAGAAATTCCCTTAACTTAAAAATTGAAAGAATTATGTCTTGTTATTGTGCTTGCTGCTAGTGAAGACAATTCTAGGGCGGGATCCAAGTAGTCCAACTAAAACAGATCACTTCGTTTTGATGTTTCACGATGAATGCCCCCAATTTCAAAAACAGTCCCTATACCCAAGGACACATAACTTACAAACGATTGAGTACCTACATGTTAAAAAATTACGAATGACTACTCAAGAGTTTGAAGAACTCCATTGCCGTGGACTTGAGTGGAATTCGGCGATAATTCAATACTCATAAAAGAAAAAATCCCTTGCTAAAATCCATGTCCAACACACCCATGAATGACTATCTACAAAGCATAAGAACTTTGAACCACACACTTCCGTGCAACGAGAAGTGAACATAACAAAAACAAAAGGTTTGTAGAAAAGACAAACTCATAATCCCGTGTACCTGCTCATGGCAGCGATCGCTCGGATCGCCGGACCGATTCCAAAGATTACATTGCGGACTTTGACCATCCATCCGTCACCAGGCTTCTTGGCAGATTCAATTGTTTTAGGAGCTTCCTGCGACTGCTTGTGCTTTGCCTTCACAGAGCTGAGATCCTCGACTGCGACATCACAGTCCTCTGGTGATGGATCTTTCTCACTTTTCTTAGGACTCTGAACCTCTTCCTCCTCATCATACCGCACTGCAGTGGCAGCATTCGAAGCTCTGGCTGCCTCCTCCATCATGCGCGTGTACGTAGCTAGCCATCTCTTCCCCTCAGGACCTTGACCCCAGACCCTCAAAGTGCTCCCAGAGACATTGCCATGCTTCCAAATGGTACCGTCCTGGACATATAATGACCTCCCGGACACATCAATGCTAGAACCTTTCACATTCGCCGCCAAGCCAGTGCGATCTACTTCATTGCGAGGCACAATACGGTCTAAGACAGTGGGCAAATTTCCCGAATGCGACTGATGCGTGTATCGTCTAAGATGTGACGATCGACACGGCCCTAAAAAAGGCTCCGAGGCGGCACTCGGTTGATGCGGCTTCAGCAGTGTCTCCGCAGTCTCCACGAGCTGCAGAACTCTCCGACGCGGAATCCCTAGTAGCCTGGACCCCATTTTACCCCTCTAATCGGCTACGATTCTCAGCAATTGCATGAGCGTCAAGCAATGCAAATCTCTCAAAATTCGCAGAATCCTCAAAACCGCTACCCGCACAAAAATCACAACTACAACGTAAACTCTAAATCTCAGCCCATACGCGTTCCATCAATCCACCACGCGCAATCTCTCACCCACCATTTTCTTCCCACCCGCTGCTTAACCCTAACCAACACCACTCAGAGCACCCTCGCAATCTTCGCACCCAGGGTCCCTCCCTCCCTCTCCTCCACACCACACCACACAACGAGTTTCTCAGCTCTTACAAACTCAGCCTACACCCCCAATCCCTCACTGGACTTCGAAAATGCAACGAACTCGACCCCCTTTCCAAGGACACACGCCCTCACTACTCCCCCACGTACTCTCACTACTCCACGAACCAGGCTCTTCCCGACGTCGCTCCGAAACACGTCATGAAAATTCGGCAGCGGTGTGTAAAACCCCTGTGCACCACGGTACAACACTTGAGTCCCCTCCAGATTATGAAAGCTATTTTGAAACAGGTTGCCCCGAAACACAATCACGTTTTCCCGAGTGCGGCCACACAATCCAATTATGGACGCGGAGTTATTCCGGTGCTCACACCCCACGGAGAATGCAGTGCGACTGGCGATTGAAATCGTGCCAGAGAGAGTGTGATTTGGATACGAAACCCTAGGTGAGGAAAAGGAGATGGAAATTGTGAAGCGATCGATCCAAACATCCAAGGGTGGGACGAGAGAAGGCTGGTCGACGCCATCGCCACGCAGCGGGGCCGCGAGAAGCCGCGGATTAGGCTACCTTGGCGGCCGACGGCTGGCGAAGAACGACGGCGCCGGTTCCTCGTCGCGATTTCTCGTCGGTTCGGTTCGGCTCAAACCGAGGCATCTTTCTCCGTCCGATGGAATCTTCCTTTGACGATACTGTTCCTACAGATTTCGTTGTCTTTGTTGGGAAGGATCGGAGGATAGTTCCATCGCATTTTCGTCTGGTGGCTCTTTTGGATGAATGATGTATAAGTGAATAAAACTCATGAATGTTTAATGTTTATTTATAAATTATGATTTTTTTTTAAAAAAAAATTACACAACTTTGATTTGAACCTACCAAAGTTCTAATAGACAATACTATTTTAAGTAATGTAAAAAATTTATAATAATAGTAATGACAACAACATTTTCCATTATTTTTTCTTCCAGTAATTTTTTGACTGCTTTTTTTAACATAAAGCCAACCAAGTGAAATTTTTTGATTTCAACCAATTATTAAGAAAATAAAGTTATAACCCCTCATTGTCTCCTTTGCATATAGAATCATCCAAACATCCAGCACTCAAACCATTAAGTATGTAACAAAAATTATTTTTGATAGAACGTGCAAACAAAGATAAATAGATGGGCAAATATATTCATGTCCTTTTAACATATGAATATACAATGTTAAACATGTATGTATGTATGTATGTATGTATGTAAATACACACACACACACACACACATATATATATATATATATATAAAATTTAGTCTTATAATAACTTATGTAATAACTAGGGATTACAACCAAAGCCTTAAGATATATGCAAAATAGTTACAGTGTTTAACCATATTTGATAAGTCAGAGAATATTACTGTTATTAAGTTGTCTATTTGTTAATTTACTGTTTCTAGCTTCAAAATAACAATATAAAATTCCCCCAAAAAATATTTCATCACTAAAAACTCTAAATAAATATAATATGTAAAATGACGTAATAAAAATAATAAAATTACTATTTTTAATGTTACGTTAGATAATAGATATGTATACAACTTTCTAAATATATACTTACAACCACTCAAATTTTCATAGTTTAATTTTGCACTGATTAGAAAAAAAATTGAGGTACTTTAAATTTTATAATTTCCCATATATTCCAATTTTCTAAAATATATTAATTACATGACAGTTAAAATATCATATATTAAATATTATTAGAATAATATAATTAGTTTTAAATTTTGTCTGGAATACGTCTGCATTGCGTGTTATTTTTATTAAAATATTTAACTCAGTATTATTTATGAAAGTCATAGATTTCAATAATAAATAAATAAGTAAATAAAAATCGTCAAATATACACTGCATATTATGTTACATAACTAACAAAAAAATAGGTTAAAAATTAATAATGGTTTAGTTAAACAGCTTTACTGACAGGTTGACAGAAATAATTAGGGCAATTATATTGAAGATTCATGTTTAATAAAATATTTAGATTTGACTATTATACATGAAATAAGTAGATAACAGAATGTCATATAATATGATAATAAATTAAAATAATAATATAATATATTAACATCTGAATCTCAGTTAATATGATCAACTGTGTTCTCAAAGATAGAAACATTAAAACAAAAAAAAAAAAAAAAAAAAAAAAAAAAATTGTATCAAATAATATACAAGTAAATAATATATATATATATATATATATATATATATATAATATTATATAGTTATGGAGGTACATGTTGGAAACCTTTGTAACAAAAGAGTAATTCTTTGATATTATAATGCAAATCTTTGTTTTATAGATATAGATAAAGTCAGAGGATAGATTTCAAATACAAAGTAATATTGATTTTTTTTTTATTGTATTTTTTAATTAATATATTTAAATTTAATTCTCTTATGATAAAAAAAATTTCTAACAAAAAAATTGAATTAGGACTTATTATTTAAAATTCATAGAAAAGAACCAACAGTTTCTTGATTATTTACAACCTTATAGACTATAATCTTAGTAAGTTTCCAATGATTAAATGAAAATAAAAGAATATAGCAAGTTAGTAAAGAAGGAATTAGAATTTAAATGACGATTGGCTCTAGAGAAGCTTATAGAATTATCCACAATTACTTGACTTATGACAAGAATAATTTTACATAATTTTTTTCTATAGTAAATATGAATACTTTTTACAAGTAAAGAATTTTAGAAATAAAGGATATCTTAATCAACAATTCTTTTATGTGCAACATTCCTAATATTAAATGTCAAAAGTTTTTAATTTTTTTTTTTAATATATTACGGATCCACATATATTGGCATTGATTTTTTGGATTGTATTATCAATGCAAAAAAAAAAATAAGGGAGAAAGAAAATATTTGTATCATTATTATTCATGTATACATGGTTAACTATTTTTATTTCATATCTAATAAAGAATTTTTGTAATATTTTTGTTTTCTATATATATATATATATATAATTTTTATAAGAAAGAAGTTCTTTATAGGTAAAATAGAAGAAAAATAAGATCTCATATACATAAAAACAAAATAAAGGATTCTACAAATCAATTTACAATTGAATATGAGATTTTAGAAGATGTTGATGTTGGCACGATATTACTTATAAATATGCCAAAAAAAAATAATATAAAAAATGACTTTAGAAGATGTGATTACACATTTAAGGTTTAAAATAAGATGTGAAAAGTTGTAGTGTCTAAGTGGATTCTTGATTTATACTCTATAAAACTATAAATATGGTCTCTACAAGACTATTCCAATATCAAATTCGTTCATATGTAATAGTACAACTTTTGAAGGTATAATAATATGTTTAGTTTTATTTAGAATTTTTGTATAATGTCAAATAAAAATGATTGAATTTAAGCATGCCTTCAATGTATCTAAAATAAAAGAAAACCTTCTTTTAACAAGTAATTTTTTTATAAGAGGCTTTATGATTTATTTCAAAATAAATGGAGATTTTATAAAACCTTTAAGAAAAAGTATGATTGATACATTCTTGAGATCAAGTGTCAACCAAGAAATATTTGTCTTTTAATGCATGTGAAAAAATCTCCGACGAATTTCCATAATTCTCCATAATTGAGGTTATATATTTTCTTATCTTCGGTATCATAGCTAGTCCAAATAATTCAACCATCTTCTTCTTAGAAACCCGATTTAATTTCATTTTCCAAACATAACATCTTAAATACTTTGAAATATTCCTTCCATCAAACTGATCAATTTTATTGACCACTGCTTGCAAAGCTTTGGTTGCTAAAGCTTCTTTGCGATCATTGTTTTGCTATTGCTGCATAGATAATGATAAAGCTTGAAACATACTAGCAATGGATGGATCTATGTACATACCCTGTCCTTTAGAAGAAACTCCACCAGAAGCTCCACTTGAAGCTCCTCCTAAAGATCCTTCAAAATTTTCATTCTCGTTCTCTATAAAAATAAAATGATAATGAACGAAATCCTATACCTTCTACCTCAAGCTTTCACGTTGGGTTCACCACTTAGGTCGTATTACATGCTATCTTGCTTGAGAATGCACCGGGCCTCTAGCTATGGAAGATAAAATAATGTTTTGCAAGTATCCAAGTAAGCTAGTAGGTTTCAACCATCTAAATACAAATTAATTTGGATTTCAATGTAAAAGCTTAATTCTAATACAAAGTGCTTTAAAACACTATTTTTAATAACTTCAAGATATTATCAGTACAAAATCTTTTGTTATTTCTTAGTTTTTATTTTTTACTTTTTTTTATTTTATTATTTTATTTTATTTTTATTCATTTTTATTTTTAACCCTAACTCTAGACAACGAGCTTCAGCAAGCTGTAATTCTCAATTTGACCTTCCCATTGTTGTAAATTTCTACCACTAGTGTCTTTGCAAGCCTTCTAAATGCTCAAGAAGCTTCAATCCAATCTAACTTACAAGTTACAAGAAAATGCCATTAATCCACATTGATGTATCTTGACCGCCGTCTAGAAGTCCTCGACTTATTATGCCAAAAGTCACCTTATTCCAGCTGGTAGATCTCCAGATATTACAGAAATACTAAACAACCCCAATCTGCTAACTTCCAATACCTCTCTACACTAATGGTCAAATATCCTCTAACTGTTCCGTCAGATTAACACAAACTTTTGCATGCACTCGACATACTCAACCCTCTAGACACCTCTAAATTTCAACATCACAAGTTTTTCCAATTTCACAAAACAGTCAAGAGTACCAGTTGTTACTTTATTGCAAAAAATCCAATTCATTAATACAACATTGATTTTTAGCAACAATTGTTAAAGTTCTCCCAAATCCTATGAAATTCAATTCTACACCTTTCGAAAGAGCTTGAAGCTAGCTCTCCGACCCCAAAAACCCGATCTCCAAATGCCCCTTTTCTTATCTTCACCTCCCTTTTAACTCTGTGTGGTCCCCCTTTTCTCCCACCCTGGACTCCAAATTGGAACACCCGACAGCGCTTCCCTACAATTCCTATTTCTAAGAAGATCTTTCCTCAGAAAGGACGTTTCTTCCAAAACGGCATAGAAAACGGAACAGCTTGAAATGGAAGTGAAGCCTCCATATTTAGGACCTCATTGGATTTCCCAACCAAGTCAGGTCTCATACTAGATAAGAGGCCCATACCAAGACCTGGATTGGATGTCTCCATAATTGGGTCAAATTGGCCTTTCACGTAAGACTCACCCGAATATTGGATTGGTCCTTTTTCCTTTTTTCAACTCTTGGTAAGAACGGCTCAAACTCATTCTACCTGATTTACCAAAGAAGCTTGAGGACCTTGATTTATCTCCTCAATTTTTCCTTAGCTTTGGATATGCTAATTCCGTTTATTGAAAATACATAGAGCATTACATAGCTGATAAGTATGCCTCGACTACTTGC